AATGGCCGGGGAATGGCCGGGGAATGGCCGGGGAATGACCGGGGAATGGCCGGGGAATGGCCGGGGAATGGTCGGGGAATGGACGAAATCGGGATAAAACCTAACATTTTGAAGATTTTTGATTAAATATTTTCATGAATTCTTTTCGTTGCGTTATGGCAAGTGTAGCATTGAAGTAAATCGAAATTACAGTAATAGGATTAGGCGACCGAAGCTATGTTGTTTGTGACGTAGTTCCTTTCTTGGGAGAGGCCAAGGCTCCCACGCAATTGTATTATATAAGATTGTGCTTTACTTTAATAAATGGTTCGCCACTCTGGCTTTGACTCCGCGCACTTGTTTTGCATTAACATTGTGCTCGGCACGTTACAAATATTAAAACATAGCTAGACCCTACTAGACCGCAATAAAATATTTTTTATTAATGTAGATGTTTACACGATCTTATCATTCTTATGTTGATTTATTGTTTGCGTGAATAAAACAATACTCGTCAGTGTTAACTATACAAGTAATCAACCGATCCGCACATTATAAGCCAATAAAAGTATTGCATGGTATAACGCAAGACGTGCCATTAACATATTGGAATTGACCATTTGCGTAATAGACTAAATTTTGAACTAAACAAGTCTAGACAAAAATTTCATCACAGCTTGAAGGAGCATCACAAAATTAGTAATATTCCAAAGTTTCGTTGCAAAATGTTGTAAAATGCGGAAAATATAGCCTTGCGAAATTTGCAATTTTCAGTCATTTTAGATTACAAACGGGAAATTGACAGCCCCAAACCCCTCGAGGCTGTCAATTTCCGGTTTGTAATCTAAAATGACTGAAAATTGCAAATTTCGCAAGGCTATATTTTCCGCATTTTACAACATTTTGCAACGAAACTTTGGAATATTACTAATTTTGTGATGCTCTTTCAAGCTGTAATGAAATTTTTGTTGAGATCAAAATTTAGTCTATTACGCAAATGGTCAATTGAACTAAGCTTTACGCATATTTATACTCCTAACCTACAGCACCAGCTCTAAACACTGCCAATAAGTTATTGGATACAATCATACAAATATTTATTGGTACGTTCTTCATATACGTGAGGATCGGGTAACAGTATTCAAATTCCAATGTCACTGTGCCTCGTAGCTATAGGAAGCGCGGCGTTTAAAAAACCTGGCGAAAACCTGTCATTAAATGTAATTTGTGTCACACAGCATTTTTCTAACCTTCGGGTAAATTCTTGCTGTCCACTGTGTCCAGTTCTATGCTAAATATTTTATTTCATTTGTAATGATGATATTTCAATCTAACATTTTTTCGAAATTTGATCTCACATTCTTACTTATCTCAGACATTGTGCTTAGATAGGAAGCGCACATTGAAAACTATGCCCAAAGTGCCACATACTCAAATAACAAAAGGTGAGATAAAATAGTGTAATACGTCGGCAAACAGCTTTTGGTTGCCGACATTCAAAATGTCTGGAGTACAGGGAAGCTTTAAATTTCCTTCACTAATGAAAAGGCGAAAAATAGATCAGTGTTTACCCACATTTAGTTGGGAATTACTAAAACATGTTGAAGAAATTGGCACTGGTGCTTTCAGAAAACAGTTGTTGTTAAGAAGTTAAAAGGCGAATCCACAGTGGCCAAAGACCGGTTCATAACGGAGGCGAAGCTGTTCTACGAAATAAAGCATTCGAATATTCCGACTTTTCTGGGATTTAGTATTTTTCTTTTGGAATTGGATCGAAAAGGTGGTTGCAGGTATTCAGATCCTGGAATGCTGTGAAATGGCCCTGCTGACTGTTGGGACATTTTATTGGGTGAACAAACACCAATTGGTGTGTCGAGGGAAATGAAATGAAGTGAACTTTCGATTCAATGTGACTGATAGAATTGGAGTGGAAAATGATGAATCTAGTGAATTATGTTATGATGATGCATGGACTGTGATGATGTTGGTGAAGCTTGATTTATACAGTAATATATATATATAGTGATGAGAGTGGTGATATATAAGTTGTAAAGTGATACAAAAATCTGAATATTCATTAAAATAAGGCATGAATAGTAAGAATGCGATGTATATGAATCGATTGATTGTTCTTGTGAAGATCGCGCAGGCATAACCCGGGTGCGTTTATAATGCGAGATGTATTGTGATGATGCCAAGACCTGGGTGAATGCCAATGTATCGCGACCCAGGTTAAGTCCCATGTGTTTTGTGTTCAAAACTAAGGTTATGTTCTCATCAGGCTCCAAGCATAACCGGGAAAGCACGTTTCGACCCCGCTAGCTGGTCTTGGAACTACGTGATCGCATATAAATATTCATTTCTGTTCCCGTTTATATGAATTATACATGTGTTTGCGCGAAAAAATCTGTTCATTATTTCGTCTAGGAACAGTGTGAAAATTGGTTGAATTTGGTATGCGTGCTTTGTAATGGGTGAAAACGATAAGAATTTAATGCATAATGTGGTAATTTTTTGTTACGGAATGAAAAAAAAAGATTAAATTTACTTACTGATAGATGTCGTGGAGCGTACTTTGCGTGTGGCAAGGCGAAAATATAGGCGAGAGATTGCTGCATGCATGTATTTCTAGTAAAAACTTCATGGTTGACGCGCATTGCACCCATTCTATTGCTAACCGGTTAATAAATGTTTTATTGTTACGTGATACGGTTTTGATCAATCGGCAAACAGAAAAATTGAACTTTGACACTAACTATATAACAAGGTCTATTGTCTTGCGTTGTACCTACAATGTGCGGTTCGGCTGATTACTTGCCATAACGCAACAAAAACAACTCATGAAAATATTTAATCAAAAATCTTCAAAATATTCATTTTTTCCCGATTTTGTCCATTCCCCGTCCATTCCCCGTCCATTCCCCGTCCATTCCCCGTCCATTCCCCGGTCATTCCCCGGTCATTCCCCGTTCATTCCCCGGTCATTCCCCGGCCATTCCCCGGCCATTCCCTTCCCCGTTCCCTTCCCCGTTCCCTTCCCCGTTCCCTTCCCCGTTCCCTTCCCCGTTCCCTTCCCCCATTCCCTTCCCCCATTCCCCGTTCCCCGTTTTAAAGATAGCCCGAACAGCTTGACGAATTTTGATTCTGACCGCCAAAACCGGAAAATTTGATGCACCAATCAGCAAACTTGGTTTTAATTGCGAAATGACATTCTTACTCTGTCAACAGCAAACTATATACTTGATGCCGATCTTATCTAATTTTTAATATTCAATCATCTATACCGGATAGCAACAAGAAAGCAATAGTAGAAATAGAACAACTGAACAAATACGATCTAAATGTATATATAAAGGCTATATATGCATTTTGAAGATTGTCTTGGACAATCCTTTTTAGCGGCTTTCCTCCAACTGAAAGTGGAGACAGATTAGAGGCTATAGTTGAACATTTGTGCTATGACAATGTTTAGTTGGCAAATGCATCGTAATGCCAATATGGATGTCAATAATCTTGTATTAAAATGGTAATTGTAAATAAGAATTCTAAAATTGTGTTTTGAGTAATTGTGTTGGCTCGTAATTGATACCGAATAGCGTGGAAAACAATAGGCTAGCGTGGAAAAAAATAGCGTGGTTGGCACAAGAGTCATTTGGCTGTCAAACCTAATTTGTTCAGTTTGCTTCGAATAGCAAATAAATCCGAATTTTTCAAGCCCTATAGTCTATACGCCTATAGGTAATATTAAATTTCTGTCGTATTTCTCACTAAAATGTCGTACAAGTGCGCGTTAATTATGTAAGTGGCAAAAACTTTAATTATTAATAATTTTGTTCCTATTAAATTCGCGTATACTGTACATGTAAACAGTTTTCACCTGACCATTATAAGTCTTTGACCCGCGGTCTTTGTGTATCATATATGTGTTTGTATATGTGCAGCATATACTGTACATATTTAATTATTTTTGACGAAGGCAAAGATGGATTTCCATAAAATCTATTCAGGGCAAAATCTCAATCGCGCGATCAACCTTTTTCGATCGCTTTACGACTATGTCTATCTATAGCCAGGCTTCTATATAGTCTTTCCTCTATGGACTATAGGCACAGCACATATATGTCATATTATAGGTCGGCAACAGTTCTAACAATTAATTAATACGAAGACATATTGCAAGACCTTTCAAGGCTATAGCTATAGCTTCTACCCAAATAATTAGACAATTCTAGACTTTTATAGTTCGCCAGATCTAACGAAGACATTGGAAGACCTTTCAAGACTTTTACTCAAGACAATTCTAGACTTTTCAAAGTCAAACGAGATGTAAAAGTCTTGCAAGACTTTTGAAAGACAATTTTACTTCCGCAATTGTCTAGCAAAGGTCTAGAATAGGTCTTGTAGACCTATCGAAGACTTTTTCTAGACCTATTTAGATCTTTCATTTTCCTACGGGTGTATATGCTTTTTTGCTTTTTGGCGCGTAAATTACTTCAAAAACCTGGCGCAAAAAATTTAAAATAAGCTATAGCGATTAGGTGATTTCATGTATCCATTTAGAAGAGCAGACTAAGGATATCTTAAAACTGAAATCGGTTTCGAATACAACCATCAGGGACGTAGCAAAGCATATGACGTTTGGGGATTATACGTGTAATAATTATAATAAAGCTTTTTGTGATTGATTGGCACTCTTATACTAAGTTTTGGGAGAAAAGGGGGGTCTGGGGGTCCTTCTCCAGAAAATTTTTACATTTTCAAAGCTCTAGGACTGAATTTCTGGCGTTTTCTAAAGCAAATTTCGCAAACAAATTGTATGTAAATTGACTGTATTTTACAAAAATGGTTATCATTTCACAAAAATAATTACTTTATTATGCAAATTTTACCTGAAACTGATGTAAAAATTTTAACTTTAATTTGCTGGGGTCAAACCTTTGAAAAGTTTAGAGCCCCCCCCTTCAGTATATCAAGAACTTTCAGAGCCCCCCCTTTGATGCCAGAAAATATTTCGGAGCCCCTTAACATCCCCCCCTCGGCATAATAAATGTACTTTCCCTAAAATGTATTTTTCAGCATAATCAGCACAGTATGTACCCTGGATTCCAGAGCCTTCGACAGTAAATAATAAATTGAAATGTCGCGAAGGCTCTGGTTCAACGGGGCGATTCTTTGATTAAACCGCGCCAATCACAAAACAGAATTAGTGGTTTTAGTACAGATTCTGTACATACGTTTACTGTCGAAGGCTCTGGAATCCAGGGTACACAGTATGATACTGTACCTCAACCTCGTTCCCAGGGCTTTTCCCTTTTTCTCTTCTATGTATTCTGATTTGTCAATGACAAGTTATTATATGCAAATAATGCAATCTTGGATTAATTTATTCAAACTTTGGGATAAATTAACATATTACGCAAGGGGGATTTAGGCCGTATTCTGTGACCCCCAAAGTCGCTTAGAAAACAAATTTCGTTGCCCCCATTCGGGACCTACTTTTAGTTTACATGAATCTATAGTTTTTGATACGCTGAGTACGAATTCGCAGTTTTTTTTTGTATTGTACGATCAAACATCAACATTTTTTATTAAAATTTCCGCCATTTTGTTCAGAAAACTTCATGTTATATACAGTTATTGTACTAGTCCAAGTCTCTTAGCAGGGGGTTGCAAGCGGTATTACGCAGTTTGTTATCATTCCTCTGAGAAAAATATACAGAAATAAAACAAAAATATAGATATTTTTCCACAATATAAATGCAAAAGGTACTGCTACATGTTTGTAAATACTTAGGAATTAATCTATTATTCTTTATTGCATCAACTTTTGGGTTTTTTTGGCTCATCACGATGTGAAATTGCAAAGACTGTCACTATATCCACAAAGACTCACTTTTGTCATTGGTAAAGTTGTTTATTTTACTTATTACTGAAATTATGTACATAATTTTGGCCTTACAATATGAAAAGGCAATTTTCCTGGATACTGTCTACATGAAAATTTTGTCAACAATAAAGTTTTGAAGGTTTTATCCCTCAGAGAGAGTTCAAAAGAAATTTTAACTTTGAAATCTTCTAATGGGTGTTTATATGGAGGTGAGCCAGCCCATGCAGGTACCCATGGCCAAGCTACAATCCTGGCAAAAATTATCGTGGACAGCGAGTGCGTCAAACAAAAATAGATCTATTTCTACATAATTAATCCGCCAGAAAATTTCTCCCCCTCCTACCCCCAATTCAATGTTGGTAAATGAAACTTTTAAAATTTGAATGCGAGAAACAACATTGAATAGGGGCCAGGGGGCGACAAATTTCATGAAAGAACGTCTCAATGTTAATATTAACCTTACAAAGGTTAGGTGTCCACATAATTTTTGCCAGGATTGTAGCTCTCTTTGCTGAGCTGATTTTATCCCATGTTTACATGAGACTTTTGAGGTGGGCTGTCTTGCCAAAACAAATTACTGGTCTTACCACTATAAATAGTATAATATAAGTAAACATATTTTTATTTTTCAAGATCTCACCTAGGCAAGCCAGATCGGTTCCCATTTAACCACAAGATAAATGTTAGTATAAATCACGATGTTAGATCACAGCAAAGCAAGCTAGCTCAGGTATCTGGGCGGACTCTCCTCCATATATGTAAACACCCCCCAAGAAAATGAAGAAATGTTATTTATATCAATAGATTGATGTGAAGTATGTATTAATTATTTAATGCTCAGCTGTTATATCCAAGATCTAAGTCTTGGAAAAGAGTCTTGGCCAGGCAGGCCAGCCCAAGAGGGAAGGTTTATTTAACTAAGGCATATTGGTAGGTAGTGATGCCAAATTACTTTAAATTTCTATTGTCTGCCTGGTCAAATATAAAATATCCCTGAATCTCCAGTAGTTCAGTTGGTAATTAATGGCAGCTCAAATAGGATTAGAGCTAAGGTGACGATGGATCATGACAATATGTTGTATTTAATACTTTTTTACACATTTAAACCTCAAATGGCGCGATCAATTAATGTTTCTAGATGGCATGACTTTGAGATTTGCTTGTGTGAATATAGTTTTTTGCTTAGCTGCTTTGTTCCAGCAAGCCCATGCTTCCCTCAACAGTCTCACATAAATTGAATAACCAAGCTAGGTTGTTATATGGTAGCTGTAATAATTTGGGCTATGTCCTGTGCAACCACCATTTGCTAATGTAAATACTTAAATAACAATAAAGTAATTAAAGAAATATAGCTAATCTAGGTTGGGTTAACCCCATATAAACAGACCAAAAGTAGGCTGTCTGTCGTAGTGAAAGCCATCTCCCAAAAGTTTTTATTTATAAAGCTCAATGTCCCATAATAGAAAAAATGTTATTATAAAACAAGAAAATGGAACTAATTATGTGCAGATTTATTAAATAGATGAGTTATTCTTATTGAGGTAAACTGCTACTAGGCTATAAAATTAATGGGCAATGGTCTACAAATAGGTCTAACATTTATTAAACAAA